AGGTTGCTGTTTGTCTTCTTCAGTTTAACATTCAGGAGGTCTTTGAGGGTGATGTGCATGGGCCCATCCTTTTTCACTGGTGGTGCCTGAAAGCAAAGGGACATTAGAAAGGGAAAGTGGGACTGAGCACTCACAAAGAGTGATGTGCTGATAAATCCAGGTCCAAAAAGAACTCAGGCACGAAATAAAAAAATAAAGGAACCTTCTGATTCCCTACCAGTTTAGAGGCTGTGCCCCGTTGGAGGAGGAGAGGTGCCAGAGGCAGTTTTGGTGGAGGCAGCGGTGGTGGTGGAGGAGGAGGAGGAGGAGGAAGAGGAGGAGGAGGGGGGATGGACACAGGCACGGATGCTGAGGGTGGAGGATCCATCTGTGTCCCCACAGGAGCACCCAGGACTGGCTTGTGACACCTTTGGCAAAGAGAACTTTCTGAAGACAAAGCTGCCACTCCGTTCATCTGAAAGCAACAGAAATAAATAAAATAAACCATTAAATCCACCAGCTGGGATTTTAGGGAACAAAGGTGCTGGCTAAGGCTGAGCTGTAAAGACATAAACAGGTCCCTCCTGCTGTGAGGTAGCAGCAGTTCTGCAGCTCTGAGTGCAGAGAATGCCCCTGAGGAGCTGCTCAGTGGATCTGCACTGAGCACCATTCCTTATCCCCACACAGACAAACGTCACCCTGCCCCAGCGGGACTGACACTGACCTGGAGTGCTCCTTGTAGCTTGGAAAATTCACTTTCCAACTTCTCCAGCTTCTCCCTGAATGTATTCAGTTCCCTTAAGTAGACTTGTGATGGAAATATGGTGTCTTTAACCACCTGAAAGCTCTAAGCATAAAAAGAAAGCAGATTGTGTGTTGATTTTCTTCAGAGGTTTTTGAAGATCAATCTGATTCTTAGGAGGGGTACTAACAGAACAAAATTAATTGGTAGAGCAAAATATTTGCAACTCAGTAAATAGTGTTAATCTGTGTTTAAAACAGAAAAATTTAATATCAAAGAAAGGATATACCTGTGCAACCCTGCTCTGGCACCACCAATACAGAAATGATGCTGCTGCTGCCAAGGGTCTGAGCACACTTTTTACACTGGGCAAGGCTAAAGGCCAGTGGGAGCAGCTTGGGACTGGTGATGAGTTCAGAGAGAGATGAACTGGTGACCTGCAACAGAACAAAGCCAGAATTTTATTTATCATCTCAGCCTTTAAAAAAGTTAACTGTGACCAATCATGTGGAAGTTACAAGCAGGTACCAGCAGGTAACAACAGAGCAAATGTGATCACAGAAACCTGGAAAGCCAAGATACATTTCAATAAAGGGTGGGGGGGGAAATCCTATTGGAAATACTTTTTTATTCAAGTTGCTTTTCCTGGTTATTAATCACAGAAACATTAAGGTTGGAAAAGATCTCCAGGGTCATCATATCCAACCTTCCACTGAATAACACCAAAAGATATCATGGAATGCCATGTACTTGGCACAAATTTTGCCTTTTTTCCATGAGCCATTGGGAGCAAACAGCAAACCCAGGGATGGAGAGAAAGGCAAAATTCAAGCAGAGCCTCTTACCGTGGAGAGGGACAAACTGAGCCCTGGGGGGTTGCAGCATTTCTCTTCTTTTCCAGTCTAAATTTTGCTTGGGCTCTTCGTTTTCGTTTGCATTTCTTATACCTTGCCATTACTGGGGAAAAAGACACATTTCAAATGGATGTATAGAGATAAAGCAAATTATACATTGGGACAGAGCTGCCACCAAAGAGAATAGCACAGGCTGCAGCTCAGAAATCCAGTCAGAGGTTACTCACAGCGGCCTTGGTGGAATTATTACGGACCAGTGATAGAAAATACATCCTTAATTTCATATGATCCATGGGATGTGTTTGTACACAGAAAGCACCGTTTTATATGGGCTTTTCCTCCCCTTTTCTATTTGCATTGTAGATAGATAGCATTGATAAATATAATACAAATATGAATTATATAAATACACACAAAAATATATTATAAATAATACAAAGATAAACAAGAAATTAGAAATGTTATAAATTAAATAGAAACTTTACAACTACGTAAGCACAAGAAATATAAACAGATGTTCAGTTTTTCATTAACCTGACGTGATAAGCACTGAATTTGGGGAAAGCGGTGACAAAAGACATACTGAAGCTACGGAAGGATGCTGAGGGCGGCACGGTCCGGTCCTTGACCGGTGATAGGTGACACCCCAGCCCCGCTCACCCGGGACGCCGCACCGAGAGCGGGGATTTCTTTGCCTCCCTCACACACACCTGCACACACCTGTGGGGGTGTCCCGGGGGTATTCCGGGGGTGTCCCGGGGGTATTCCGGGGGTGTCCCGGGGCCGCCCCGTCCCCCCGGCCGCGCTCCGCACCCGCCGCCGCCGCCGATTCAAACCGCTCCCCGCGCCGCGCCCAGCCAATGGCAGCGCCGCTCTCTGCCGGCCCCCCCACGCGGCGCATGTAAGCCGCGCGCTGATTGGCCGCCGCGCCGAAGCGCGCCCGCGCTCCACGGGAGAGGGGCCGGCGCTGCGCCGGCCCGGCCGCGCTGAGGCGAGCGACACCGCCATTGGGCGAGCGCGTTCGGTGCCGCCAATCGGCTGCGGGCAGCGCTCGGCTGGGGAAGGCTGGAGGAGTGAACCGGGCGAGGAGCGGCCCCGCCGCCCGCACAACCGGGAGAGAAGCGGGGAGGGGGAGCGGCGCCGCCGCCCCCTCAGGGCCGCAGCGGACCGGCCCGCGCCGCTTCCCGCCAGCGCCGCGCGCCCCGCCCCGGCCAATCACAGCCGGAGCCCACTCCGGGCCAATGGGCTCGGCCGTACCTCGGAGCGGGTTTACATTCTGCCCGGGCCAATGGCGAGCGCGCCCCGCGAGCCGCCAGCCAATGGGAGGCGCGCGGCAGTGACAGCTGGCCAATGGGCGCCGCCGACTCTCCCGGCCGCGGCGCGGGGGGTGGGGATCTCCGCGCCGCCGCCTGAGGAATGTCAACTATTCAACATGGAGCCGGCGGTTAACAATCTCCAGACCCTGGTGAGGGCGGGCGGCGGCCGCGCTGAGGGGCGGCCGCGCCGCGGGGCCGCCGGCGGTGAAGC